ACTGGATAGCATGAAAATAACTCAAATACTGATATCTTCACCGATTGATAGAGCCAGTATGCCCCAGTTCAATGTTTGCAGAGGCCTCCTTAGGAAGTACATACTTTAGCATTATTATGGCTTCTCATATATTCTCATGGTCAATTCACAGTTTCTTCTTCACTCATTCTCCTTCTGGAAATACACAACTACTTGCTTAGCCTGTTCTCCAGGCACAGATACTTCAATGCTGTCCCCACTACCTTCCCAAATGCTTTTGCCTCTTAACCTTCCACCAGCCACCAGGGCCCCTTGCTCTACTTCAGTACCCCAGACCACCCTCTTCTCTACTTTCTTCTTTCCTGACCATCAGCCAAGAAAGTCATTGTACCAGGTGAAACACATCTTAACCCTGGCATTCTTTGGTCCTCACAGCTGTCAACTCCTCATTTATTCATTCATCGTTGATTGTGAACAATACCCCACCCACAGGGCCATCTTGTCTTCTAGAGCCCAATCCTGTAAGATCAACTCTCAAGGTCGTCTGTAAGTGGCTTTTAGATTTTGGTGGTTTTAAATGCCTCATAAGAATTCAAGGGTCTCCCCTTTAAAAACCTCCCTTATTTCCATCTTATTGGTTTCATTTAGTTGGCACTCACTTTTTAACTCCTCTTATAAGCCAGCCCCTGTGCTAAGCTCTCTACACATATCAACTCCTGTTAATTATCACAACCTCATGAGGTAGGCACTGTCTTCAGCTGCATTTTACAGATGAGGACACTGAGGCAGAGACAAGTAACTTTCCCAAGGTCGTAAAACTAGGAAGTAGCAAAAGCAGAATCTGGTCTCAGGCAGTCTGGCTTCAGAGCCTGTGCTCTGCCCATGCATTAGCACACTGCCTCTCAGCTCCAGTGCCACCTGCCATGCCCCCTATCTCAAACTGAAAGCCAGCGCTTCTCCTTCCCTCTCCTCCGGTTACGATTTACCCCTGTGGTGTCTGTGCCCTGTTATCCTATACATCACCTATTTTTTTCTGAAATGTACACCTTTTTCTCCTCCAATGCCAGGGCTCTTTCCCCTATGCCTGCCCTTAAGCAGTTGTATATTCTTCCCTTCCATACACTGGCTGTGATCAGGTCTCTTTTCATTCACTGCTAGACTTTTCTTGAATAATAGCTCTACTCATGCTACTTCATTCTTGTTATTGTCCGATTTCTGCTTAACATGGAAACACTGGCTTCTATCTATTGGAACAATTCTTTGAAAAGTAACCTGTCACTTCTTAATAAGTTGAACAATCAGTTATCATCAGCCTTGACTTCTCACCACTATCTTACCTCCTTCAATACCATCCTCTTGAAACACCTGCCCCTTGGGTTCCATGCACTACCCTGGCCTGGTTCTTATCTTTTTTTCCTTGCAGACACTTCTTCCTTTACCTCCATCACTTGCCAAAAAGTGTGCCTCAAGCTTAATCCTTGGTCTGCTGTGTTTGGGTGTGACAATATCCATTAGACTGACAATTCTCAAAATTTAGCATGCATCAGAATCATCTGGACAGCATCTTATAACTCTGGGGCCCCAACCCCCGAATTTCTGATTCAGGTTGTCTGAAATTGTTCACAAGAGCTGATCCAGCACCACACTATGAGAACCATTGTATTAGAAATCTCCTTCATTATCATGTTTTGAATTCCCTTTTTGTGTGTGTTTCACTCTCATGTTTCCTTCTCTAGATCTGCCTTCACTCTCAAACCTCAGTCCTGAATCTCCAATTAGAGTTATT